GCCCTGGTCTGTCCGATCTTTCCTCCAACCCACAGCCTACAGCCACACAAAAGAAGCAACAACATGAACATAAGGCGTCGGAGCTGTGCTCGGAGTTCTTGGATCCGCGCTGCAGCCCCCCTTACCTGGCGCGCGGAGCGCGCCAGGGGCGGCGCCAGAGGCACCGGAGGAGGCCCCCGACCCAGATCCAAGAAATCCGCGCGGACTATCGAACGTTTGTGTCCATGCCGCTGAAGATGGCGGCATCCGAAGCCAAATGACCCCACCATCCCATCGATGCGGGGGGAAGGGAAGGATCTTGCCGCGTGTCCAACCAATTCCGAACCCTGCAGTCATCGGCCTGGCCTAAGGAACGATGAAGAAGGAACGAAGTCCCTTTCTGTCCAAGGAATAACGCATAAGGAACGAACAATAATACATAACGCATAAGGAGCGATCAATAACGCATGCAAGCCAAAGGAACGACCGAGCCCGTTCTGAAAAGTAAGTGTTCCTTATTCAAGCCGTTCACTGTACCCCCGCCGCCCATCGAATTGCGGCGAGGGTAGGGTTCGCATTGCGCCGCCGAGCCTTTTTTTATAGGGAACCGAAATCTATACACCGACACTTTCTGCAGCCCTGCACTGAAATTTGCACAAAGAAGCGCATCCTGGTGTGTACCGGATCCTGGTGCACTTATACATTTTTTCGCCCCTTCCCCAAGAAAGCGAAAAAAGTAGACACCACGCCACCCCGACGTCGTCCCCGACCCTCAAAAAGCCTTGGAATTGAAGAACAGCCCGCCGCTGGCAATGTATATTCTCCAGTTTCTGGCTTTACTCCTCGACAATACAGTGCGGGCGCGGCCACAAAAAAAACCTCGCAAGAAACCCAACCCTGAAAACCCGCGCGCGCGGTGCACCAGAGGGGAAAGCGGGAGCACCAAGAACGCAGCAGCTCCTTCAACGGCCGCGGGACGTCAACGCGCAGCGCGCGGAGTAAAGAAACCCAGGATACCCTGACGAAAAGCATACGATGTCTTGATGCGCGCCCCCACTGTAGGGGGCGAGCCCGCGCCGGACGGCTCCCCTTCTTCCCCTGTCGACCTGCCTGCTGCGCACCTCGCGGGAGGCTCCCAGGAAGAACCACGAGGCCCCCAAGAGGCCCCAGAGAGGCCCCAAGAGGCACCCCAGGAAGGCCGGAGAGGCCACAGAGAGGCCCCCAAGAGGCCCCCAAGAGACTCCCAAGAGGCCCCGAAACTGTCCCCCAGAGGCCCCCAAGAGCGCTTCGAAGAGACCCCAAGAAGCATCCATGAGGACTCTGACCCACATTCAGCGTCGTCGTCGCCGTCGTCGTCGCCGCCGTTGTCGTCGTTCCCCCTCAGGGTCGGCGACACCTGCTGTTAAGACCTTCGCGATCTTGAAAGTCGGAGAATCCTGGAAATCTTCGAACCTATCAGTCTGATGACCTCTTGCCTCTCTGAATTAGACAAAAGAAACGCCATAAACATACACTTTTGGCGCTCCGCGCGGATTTCTTGGATCCGCGTCGGACCCCCTTCCCTGGCGCGCGGAGCGCGCCAGGGGCGGCGCCGGAGGCGCCGCTGGGGGAACCCAGCGCGGATCCGAGAAATCCGCGCGGAGCGCCACAAGTTTATGTTTATGTGGTTTTTTCTTCTTCGAAGTACAGGGCAGTTTTTAGTACATAGGATCTTGAAAATATAGGATCTTTAACACATGATCAATGCATGAATAACTTTATGCATGGGCTCATCGTTGTTTTGAATACTAGATCCCTGCATTTTTACGACATTATCCGCACGCGGAGCATGTATTAATAACGGCACTGAATGTTTATGTGCTTTTTCTTTTTCGAGGTCTGATGATATGTTTATGTGGTTTTTTCTTCTTCGAAGTCTGATGACGCCTTGCCCCTCTGAGGGCCCGTCGAGGGCCCGGCTCCGCGCGGGGCCCCGAGGGTGCACGCACACGGTCCTCGTTTTCAACGGGGACCACGGGCATCGCCAGGGCTGGGCTCGGGGCAAGCCTCGAGGGGCCTCTCGGGATCGCCCTCGCACGGCCTCCCCCGCCGTACAACTTCACAGGCGAGGCACGCCTCGAGGAGCCCGGGGGATCGTCGCCGGATGTGCTCCGCGACATGCTTTCGCGCCGGGATGCTGGATTTCGGGGGCCTCCGGGAAAGCGCATGTCGCCGGATGTCCTCCGCGACATGCTTTCGCGCCGGGATGCTGGATTTCGGGGGTCTCCGGGAAAGCGCATGTCGCCGGATGTCCTCCGCGACATACTTTCTCGCCGGGATGCTGGATTTCGGGGGCCTCCGGGATAGCGCATGTCGCCGGATGTCCTCCGCGACATACTTTCTCGCCGGGATGCTGGATTTCGGGGGCCTCCGGGAAAACGCATGTCGCCGGATGTCCTCCGCGACATACTTTCTCGCCAGGATGCTGGATTTCGGGGGTCTCCGGGAAAACGCATGGATCGGGCGTTTGCAGAGCTGGGTCTAGTGGGACCTGGTTTAGTGATGTGTACTGGGGGACGCCCCCCCGCCGCGTTCCACTCACCGGAATTGCCGCCACCCGAAAAAACACCAGCTACGGCAGACCTGGTTTAGTGATTCTGGCAAACTTAGAGGCTCCAGGGCCCTACTAGTAACAGGGTCCCCTTACCTGGGGTCCAGACTACACCCGAACGGAGCGTCGCCGTGTCGTCCGCATCAATTGGCGGGGCTGCCCACAACTCTCTGCGAAGCTCTCCCCTGTGCCTCATCTCTCTCTTTCCCTACACTCGTAGGTGCCGCACCGCTCGGCGGCGGCAACCCGCGATTTCCCACGGAAGCGGGACCCTCCGCTAATCCACCCCCTCCTCCTCCTCCTCCTCCTCCTCCTCCTCCTCCTCTTCCTCCTCCTCCTCCTGTCTTCTGATTCTTCTGGAGCGTGTCCACAGCGTGAGGTGGTACGCCCCCGTTGATCCATCTTTGGAAGAAGAACACATGCTATATAAACACACACACACTTTTGGCGCTCCGCGCGGATTTCTTCTTGGATCTGCGACCCCCCTCCCTGGCGCGCGGAGCGCGCCAGGGGCGGCGCCGGAGGCGCCGCCAGGGGGGGCTCAGGTGCGAATCCAGGAAATCCGCGCGGAGCGCCAAACAGTTTATGTCTGTGCAGTTTTTTCTTCTTCGAATTCTGGAGCGTGTCCACAGCGTGGGGTAGTAATCTTAGGTCGGGCCTGTCCCCCTACAGGCGGATTTTGGACGACAAATAAAAAATACCCCAAGAACATTCCCCAAATGCTGGGAAACAGTCGAAACATCGTCCCATATAAATATATTATATATCATTATATCTATATGTGTATATATATATGTATGAATGTATATGTATGTGTATGTGTATGTGTATGTGTATATGTATATGTATATGTATATGTAAATGTATATATATATATATATATATATATATATAAAACACGTGTTTGAATTTTCCTCCTGTACAGGGGCAGGCCTACGTAATGGCAATTGCGCTTAAGTCGGGCGTGTTCCTCTACAGGGTGAACATTCCCAAATAATCAGAAACTCGTCTGGGGACGATTTTTCTACTATTTTTGGCCATGTTTGAAATATTCCTGGGGCGTTTTTAATTTTCCGTCCGAAATCCCCCTGTAGGAGGACAGGCCCAACTTAAAATTGCGCCCCCATGGATCCGTGCTTGCGATCGCCTGGAAGGGGTGGCACTTGCGCCCCAAGGGGACCCAGCGCCGATCCAGGAAATCCGCGCGGGGCGCCAAAAGTTTATGTTTACGTGGTCTTTTCTTCTCCGAATCCTGGAGCGTGTCCTCAGCGTGGGGTGGCACTTACGCCCCCAGGGGGGACCCAGCGCCGATCCAGGAAATCCGCGCGGAGCGCCAACAATTCATGTTTATGGCGTTCTACCTTCTTCGGATTGATCCGTGCCTGCGACCGCCCCGAAGGGTGGCTCGCGCGCCGCGCCGCAGCGCGCGTGCGGGGGGGCGCGGGAAGAGCGGCGGCGCGGCACGCCGAGCCAGCGCGGATCCAGGAAATCCGCGCGGAGCGCCAAACAGTTTATGTTTACGTGGTCTTTCCTTCTTCGAATCCTGGAGCGTGTCTAGCGTGGGGTGGTAATCTTAGGTCGGGCCTGTCCCCCTACAGGCGGAGCTTGGACGAAAAAGAACGAATACCCCAAACCTATTCCCAAACTGCGGAACAATTGTCGAAACATCGTCCCCAGACGATTTTTGACCATTGTGGAATACCCATCGGTCGGAAGAAGTAGGTAGAAACATGAAGTAGGAAGGCGTTGGAAGTAGATTGGGTTTCCGCACGCCTCCTGAAGAGGAAGGAAGAGGGAAAACCACTCGACTCTTGAAGTAGGAAGGCGCTGAAAATAGATTGTAATCTGGGAATCCAAAAATACCTACTTTCAACGACCGATGGGCACTCCTCCTGTAGAGGGACAAGCCCGGCTTTAGGGTAGCTGCGCTTCCGTGGCTCCGTGCCTGCGACCGCCCCCGAGGGGCGGCTCGCGCGCCGCGCCGCAGCGCGCGTGCGGGGGGGCGCCGGGGCGAGCGGCGGCGCGGCACGCCGAGCCCGAGGCGAGCTCCTTGGCCGCAGGTTTCGGTGGGGTACGTCCCCTTGACGGGCGGGTTGTGGGCGAAACATCAGGAATACTCAAACACATCCCCACATACAGTCGGGGCGTTGACCTAAGGAACCCTAAATAAGGAACGATGCCCCTTTTCTCCACACATTGAACTTCGATTTCCCATGGAAAACCTAAGAAAACACCTAAGGCAAACTGCGAAACAACTAAGGAACACGGAGCCCCTCCCCAACGAGAAGGGTTCCTTCTTCAAGGCCCCGACTGTAGTCAAACATAAAGCAAGCGGTGCCCAGACTTGGTTTTTTGGACTATTCCTGGATCGTCCTCCAGTAGGGGGACAGGCCCGACTCCATCGCAGGTGCCCCCCCCTCCCCCGGCGGACTCGAGGAGCGGCTTGGCCAGCGGGGCGTTGACGAGGGTGGTGAGCATCGCCTCGCCCCCCCCCCCCCCCTCCCGGAGACCCTGGCGTCGCCATTCTCTCACAACAGGCGTCCTCGCTCGACTTCGGGCCCCCTGGGACCCTCAAGCTGCCCAGATATTGAGTGCCCTCTTTCTGCGGCGCCCAGGAACCGTCTGGCCTCGGAATATGCGCAGTACAGCCCACGGCTAGAACTTCCAGCTTGCGCCCATTGAACTGTTTGCCTCTCTCAGGGGCCCTCACAGATCGATCCGGCCCGGAACATGACGCAGGAAGATGGGGTCCGGGGCTCCGGGCGTGACTTCTTGCGATGCTGCGATGTTTCCGCAACGTCGGATCTCAGGCCCCCCCCCATCGTCGCTAGCGGGGGGCAGCAGCTTCTCTCGGGGGCGTCCAAGAGGGGGGCGTCCAGGAGCGGGGGGCGCAAACCATGGCCGGCGGCATGTGCGCGGCCCAGGAGGGGTGGGGGGGCCAGGGGCGTACTGAGACAAGGAGGTGCGCCATGGAATCTCGGGAGATCTCATGGCCCTCGCCACGATATCCACACCCCCCTGGTCATCAACCCCCTCTTTGCCGCCCCGGAGCTTCAGCAGACTGGATTCGTCTGCCGGGGCGGGGGCGGGGGATGGGGCGTCGAGGATGGACCTCTGGAGGATCGGGAAGGGGGGATCGATCTCCAGAGGATCGGAAGGGGCCGAGGGTTCGATCTCTCGAGAATCGGAGGGGGACGCGGATCCATGTCGTGAGGATCGGAAGAGGACCAGGACCGATCTTTCGAGGACTGGGCAAGGACAAGCATCGATCGAGGAGAGGGAGACGGAAGATGAGGAAGCGCACGAGCGGGTGGCGTGAGGGGGCGGCCTTCTAAGAGGGAGGAGACCTTACCAGAAGGCACGGACCTTCTCTGAAGCTCCTGGCTGCTTCTACATTGGTCCCCTGAGGAAGGTTGCCCATCCGTGCTATGCGGGTTGACTGTAAGGGGTCCTGCCTGTCTCGCTAGTGGCTCCACCACCCTGGGGAAAGCGACGCGAGGCCCCAGCAGCCAAGTCCGAGTCGACCCTTGGCCGAAGGCCCTGGTCGACCCTCGGCCACTTCAGCCCAAACCTTCACGATCCTCATGCACTGTGTGAGCTTCCTTCTCAAACCTCTGCGACTCGAACACCATTCGGGGCCCTCGGGGCCGGGCATCGCGCAGGTGAAACAGAAATCGCCGCCATTGGTCGCATGTGTGCTAGCACATTACTCGCGCTGCCATGTTTCACACAACGTGCCCTGAAGGTGGCGCAACGGGCATTCCATCATACCCAACAGGGCTTCGTGGAAAGGACTACACGCGTGCTGTTCGCAGCTCGTGCTTTACGATTCAGAGACGAGGCAACGAATTCAGGATGCAATACGGTAGGTTCGCGCGGCGTCGGCACGCGCCAAGGTTTTGGATACCGCGTCGAACGTTCAACCTGGAACCGATCGCGGCCACGATCGTTCAAAATAAAATTCGGTCGGATCCAGCGGCGTCACCGTCCCTCGGTGCCTCCGCGTCGCAGAATTCAACCTTGAACGCCTTCGCTGGCAGCGCCGGCGCGCCATCGCCGCATGAACCTACCTGACCCTTGGGACGCCCGAGCTGGAGCAGTTGCAGCGGCGTCAGCCCGCATTCTGGGGCTCGGACCGGCCAGATACGCAAGTATACAATTCGGGGGCCACTCGTGAACCCAACCGCGGCAGGCCAGGTTTCCGAAAGAGGGTGGGGTTCGGCATCTGAGGGATGCCCTGCAGCCACGCGAGCCCCAGCGGGAGGGTCCGGTGCTCCAGAGCCGTGTGGACCCGCAGGGCTGGAGGGCTCGAACGTGGTCCCAGAGCAGGGGCTGCCTCGTAGAGGAGGAGGAGGAGGAGGAGGAGGAGGAAGAAGAGGAGGAGGAGGAGGAGGAGGAAGAGGAGGAGGAGGAGGAGGAGGAGGAGGAGGAGGAGGAGGAGGACAGTGGCCATCTGTGCCCGCTGCCGCGGGCTCTGGGCGCAAAAGCTCTCCCAGCACTTCGGCCGACCGGCGCGGCCCCCGCTCCCGCTCGCGCCCCTCTCTCTCGGCAGGCTCATGCTCCTGCGGCGCAGCACTCGTGGCGCTGGGGCACAGCAGCGATGTGGAACAACCTGGGGCCACCAGGCCAGGAGATCGTCAGAACAGAGCGGGCGGCGCCAGCAGGCGTGCAACATAAAGGGGCCCCGGGACACACAAATAAATACACACAAATAAGAGGATTCCCAATTTTTCTCATATTTTCTGAGTTTTTGTCTTCCCCCCCCCAATTCCCATACTTTCCCATATTTTCCGGGGGATCGACGATTAATTGTGTCTGTGTGTTTCTTCCCCTCCTGACAACAGGCCACCAGGCCAGGAATCGGCGGTGGACAAACCTCCCTTTAATAAACCACCCCTTAATGAAAACGGCCTGGGACCGAAACTGACGGACCTGGACCCGCAAAAATGACGGCCACGACGCCCTCTCGCGAACCGGAAACGGCCAATTCACTAATCGACGTGTCAGGGTATGAGGCCTGTCAATCTCCGGAACAACCTGGGGCCACCAGGCCAGGAAATCGTCAGAACAGAGGGGGCGGCGCCAGCAAGCGTGCAACATGAAGGGGCCCTGGGACACACACAACATAAATACACACAAATAACAGGATTCCCCATATTTTCCCATATTTACGGAGTTTTTGTCTTCCCCCCCAATTCCCATATTTTCCCATATTTTCCTGGGGATCGACGATTAATTGTGTCTGTGTGTTTCTTCCCCTCCTGACAACAGCGGTGTCGAAACAGATGGCAACTGCAATGCACTCCACCGCAGCGCGACCTCCCGAAGCGCTCCTGCGGCCCGTCTCAGTCTGGTAGCAAGAAGATGAAGGTGCCCTGGGACACACAAATAAACACACACACACAAATAACAAGATACCCCATATTTTCCTATATTTTCTGGGTTTTTGTCTTCCCCTTAATTCTCATTTTTTCCGATATGTTCTGGGGAATCGACGATTAATTGTGTCTGTGTTTTTTTTCCCCTACTGAGAACTGGGCGCGCAGAGGTGGGCACTTGTTCACTTGCAGCCAGAACGCCGATTGTTTAGGGCCCTGGCCACTCATACTCATCGAGCGCCACCGACTGATGGGGCGCCGATGACAGTCAGAACAGCTTCAGACTTAACAAGGTCGTTGTGCTGATCGGCAGCTGACGCTCCTAAGCTGACGTAATTGCTTTGTTCGGAAGCTGTCGCAGTGCACCCATCAAGTCAGAGACTTACGCCGATGCCGATATGCAGGGCAAGGAAATGGGAAAGGGAGCGGAATCACGAGGACACCGAGCGGAACGGGTGTATGCGGGCATCCTAGGAATGGACAGAGTCACCTTTAGCAAAACACCCCTCGGTGGAAACGTCCTAGGACCAACCTGCGGGCGGATGCCAGCAAATCTTGCAGCCGTAGCACCTTGCGGAACTTAGGATACAAAGTGTCGCTAATCGACCTGGCACGTATCAACGTTCTGACGGACGACCTCCTCCGGGGTCCGACAACCCGCGCCCATACCCATAGCCACTCCTCCTCCGTCCGGCCCTTCTATGGGTCTGGGTGTGTGTGTGTGTGTTGTTCGTTCCAGGCGTTTGCTAGACCTCAGCGAGCTACATATCGCATCGGTGACGTTTCCCCTCGCTGCAGCACCGCGCGCGCGGACTGCCGTCAATCCGAGCGATGAAGAAGGAGGGACGCCTCCTGCTGCACGTACGGAGTGGCCCCCGAAGGCCGGGGAGTGGCGGAAGGCCCTCATCGGGACTGCTGGAAGAGCCGCCGCTGCAGGGGGTCCTCCTCTTCTTCCTCAGGAGGAGGAGGAGGAGGAGGAGGAGGAGGAGGAGGAGGAGGAGGAGGAGGAGGAGGAGTGGAGGAGGAGGAGGAGGAGGGGGGGGAGGAGGAGGAGGAGGAGGAGGAGGAGGAGGAGGAGGAGGAGGAGGAGGAGGAGGAGGAGGAGGAGGGCGGAGGAGGAGGAGTCGCCCCGCGCGGACAGCAGGAGCCCGCCCACGCCCTGCCACGCCGCGGCGCCGACGTCGGCAGCGGCCTCCGAGGTGGTCGCCTGCCGCGCTGCTGGCGGGGGTCGAGCCGCCCTGCTCTCCACCGCCGATGCCGCTGGCAACATCGCCGCCGGCGGTGCTCGTCGTGGTCTCCGCATGGGAGAGCTCGGCGTCGGCCTCCGAGGGGTCGCCTCCGAGGGGTCGCCTGCCGCGCTGCTGGCGGGGGTCGAGCCGCCCTGCTCTCCACAGCCGATGTCGCTGGCAAAATCGCCGCCGGCGCGCCCTGCCACGCCGCGGCGCCGACGTCGACCTTGGCCTCCGAGGGGGTCGCCTGCCGCGCTGCTGGCGGGGGTCGAGCCGCCCTGCTTGAAGGGGCCCTGGGACACACAAATAAAGACACACAAATAAAAACATTCCCCACATTTTCTCGTATTTTCGGGGTTTCTGTCTTCCCCCCCACGTCCCATATCTTCCCGTATTTTCCTGGGAGTCGACGATTCATTGTGTCTGTGTTTTTTTTTCCCCTCCTGACTGATCTTCACAGTCGACGTCGCTGGCAAAGTCGCCGCCGGCGGTGCTCGTGGTCTCCGCAGTGGGAGCGCTCGGCGTCGCTCTTCCCTGCGGCGGGGTCGGCGAAGTCTGCGTCCTCGCACGCCCCTGAGGGCCCAGAGGATGCGGGCGCCGACGCTGCCCCAGGCGGCGACGTCGATGTCCTCCACGAGGCCCGCAGGCGGACGAGCGGCCCAAATCGTGTGGCAGGGCGGCGCGTATTTAGTGGGCAAACATACCTCCCTCGCTTTTGACCACCCTCGCTTCCAAGAGATACCAAGCGATGCCAAACGACGGCCTGTACTGGTCAGGCCGCTTGACGAGGCGCGTGGTATGACTTGGTTTTGCCTGGAAGCGAAAGCGGGGTAGGTAATTCACGCTCTGAGTATTCCACCGTCTTGGTGAGCATGCTGCTAGACATGGAGTGTAGAGCGTGTTTCGGTTCCAGAGCGCCAGCGCTGCTTCAGAGCTGCGTTCCACTTCGTTCTCGAGTCGCGCCTTGAGCCTTGGGCCAAGACGGCCGCGGAAGATGGCGTTCGCGCGCGAGCGGGCTGGCAGGCTGGGCAACCCGAGAGGGCCCTCGTAGGCCTGTTGCTCAACGTCTCTGCCGGTCGGCGCAGTCGTCCTCTCTGGGCGGTCGTACTGTCGTGCTGTCGTCTGGCCGTCTCCTCCTTCTACTCCTGATTCTGGTCCTCCACATTCGCCCTCCTGGCATTTCCCCTCGTGTGCTGAAGCCGCAAGACGCACGTCAAGTTCGTGTCGTGACTTCGGCGATGGCTCCTGACACCCCGTTGATCGTTCAACCTTGACCGATCGGAGTCTCTTCGACGCCCAGAGCGTTGCATGTTGGCCGATTCCTGGCCTCTGGCGGCGCTCAACCATGAAAACCCGCGCTGGGTTCGTCGCCGCGAACGACACGAACCTGCCGTATCCGAGTTCTGGTGGGTATGCTCAGCACGCGTCATCGCTTTTCTTATGTGAGAGACGCCTCACGCCTCAGCGTGACACACTTGAAGGGGCCCAAGGACACACACATAAATACACACACATACAAATATTCCCAATCTTTCACTATATTTTTAGGGTTTTTGTCTTCCCCCCATTTCTCATACTTCCCCATATTTTCCTGAAGATCGACGATTAATTGTGTCTGTGTTTGTTTTTGTTCCCCTCCTGAACACTGTCTTGTGTTCTGGGTTCCTAGCGCTCGCTGCCCGCCTTTCTCATGACGTTCCCATCCTTTGGGCCTCTAGGTCACGTGGGAGAGGCCAACGTTGAGCCATGACGAATCACCACCCGTCAGCCATGACCTCGTTGTCACAACAACCCAGCGCCAAGGGGCGAGTACATATGCGGGCGCAACGCCAGAGATGTGCGGGTCCGAAGGCCAATCTTGGGCGTGAACCGTCTGGGCCCTCAGGGCTCAAAGCAAAGCCATTCAGGGTCTGGGTTGTATGAGCTGATGGGAGGGTTCGTACCCCCCCTGCGGTGACTTCCTGCCAACGTGATCGAAAGACGCTCTGCCTAATTCTGACACCCCAATAGCCGCTAAACCTGGGAGCGCTCGCACAACATGAGAGTTATTGACTGGGGTGTGCGCCCGTGCCCCTGATAGGCTCCCCATTTCCGTTTGCGAGAGGTTAGTCCAGGTGGACGCGAGGTCGGCATTGAGGTGTGAGAGGCAGCGGCAAAACACATCAATACGAAAGTGAAGCCAATATCAATCCCCAACAACCTGGACCTGGAAGCCCGAGAGTGACTGAAGCGAACCACCATCACCACCACCACCACAGAGCTAGGCATCCAGAAGGACGCGTGGGTAGAAGAGCGCGCGATTGGCAGCCCTTCGTGAATCGCAAAGCGAGAACCGGGAGAAAAAGGAGCACCCCGCGACTGTGAAGCAGAAAGAAAGAGTACCTGACCGAGGAGCAGAGGATGGGGCGCCCGACTGTGAAGCACAAGACGGGCGGCGAGGCAGGAGGAAAAGGAGGGGTTGGGGCAGGGGCAGGAGCAGGAGCGAACCAAGAACGGCAACTCTCATCCGGTGACGCACCGCGGTGATGCGCTTGCCTGAGCAGTGGATGCGGCAGTGCCCATGCCGTGCCCGGGGCCCGCAGCGTCTGAGGAGCAGCCCTCCGTGGGCAGCCAGCTGAGCCAGATCGAGCCGGCAGCCTCCAGATAGCTCGCAGCCACTCTCTTGAGGGGGCACAGCCTCTGCGCGCCCTCCCTGTCGGCGCGCTCGTCTGGTCCACGCCTTGCGGGGGGCTTCGCTGCCCAGAGCTTTCGCGCACAACCTGGCGCCTCTACGCGCGTAGCGATTCGCGATAAAAAGAGCCCCTGTCCCTCTGGGAGGGGACCTAAGTCAGGGGGGCCAGCAACATCAGGGACGCAGGGCCTTGTCTGCAGATGCATCAAACCACACCGCCCAGATGTATCATCCCTAATGCCAGGACGGGGACCCACGTGAGGCCACGTCTTCAATATGGTATTCAGGTTCGGGATTCTTCTTTTATCCTCGAGGATGTAAGACACGCTTGCGTGTCTCTCCATGCCCGACCCGACCACCCCCCTCATCGCTCCCACGCGCGCCGAAAGCAATAACAACGACCTGCTGATCTCACGATGCTCTGAGCAGCCCTCCGAGAGGCAGCCAGGCATCCTCCTCTGGAGGAGTGGGAGGAGGAGGGACGGAGGGGGGGAGGAGGCGGAGGAGGGGGAGGAGGCGGGGGAGGCAGGAGGAGGCGCAGGAGACGGGGAGGAGGAGGGGAGGAGGGAAAGGAGAGGGTGGGCGGAGGAGAGGGGAGGGAGGACAAGCTGGGTGCGCTCGCGACAGGTCTGACGTCCTACCCGCGCCTCCCATTCCTTACCATTGCGTAGAGCCCCTCTCGGTTTGCACAGTCGGGTGCCGAAGAAGACACCGACCCCGAAAGGACAAGCGCCGCGCAGCATAGCATGACACAGCGTGGCGTATGAGAGGACGGCAGAGCGCAGCCTTGTGTAGCATGGCGTGGCATTGCGAAACAAACAACGAGGGCGGGGAGACAGGATGCCACTGCCGATCCAATAGTGCTGCCAGCGCTGCAGCGAGGGCGCCACTCCATTGGACGGAGGCTCCACAGCAACTAAGAAACGAGGCCGATGTTGCTGTGGGAATTCCATCTTGAAAAGGGAAGCCCCAAAAGCTCCACAGACCTCTCCCAGGTGCGTTCTGACCAGGACTTCGAGGCGAATCTAACAGTGGCGACGAGGGCCTCCCAGGAGGCCGAAAGAGGGGAAACGAGGGAGGGGTAGAGGAATTAGAGGCCTCCGAGATGGGGTCGGAGTAGATGGGGTCGGAGGATCGCGCCACATCGGCGATGCATCGGCGACAAATGATCGGCGATGCATCGGCATTGCATCGGCGATGCACCGGCGACGCATCGTCGACGTCGGCGATGCATCGGCGACGTCAACGTCAAGCAAATCGGGCTCCACATCGAGCCGCATCGGCGATGCGGAGCGGTCCTCCGACCCCATCTACTCCGACCCCATCTAGGAGGCCTAGGGGTATGGGTACACGTCGTTCATTTCTAATCGTGCTCATTTCTAGTTGTGCTCGTTTCTAATCGTCTCTGGCTCCTGGTGGCCAGGAAGAGGCCCAGGACAGAACACTTCGAAATGAAAAGATCTTGGACCCCCCAAAAATCAAACAACTTTCGAATAATCAGACATGAACAAAATGGAGGAGGAGGAGGAGGAGGAGGAGGAGGAGGAGGAGGAGGAGGAGGAGGAGGAGGAGGAGGAGGAGGAGGAGGAGGAGGAGGAGGAGGAGGAGGAGAGGGGAGAGGATGAGGAGGGGGAGGAGGAGGAGGAGGAGGAGGAGGAGGGAGGAGGAGGAGGAGGAGGAGGAGGAGGAGGAGGAGGAGGAGGAGGGGGAGGAGGAGGAGGAGGAGGAGGAGGAGGAGGAGGAGGAGGAGGGAGGAGGGGGAGGAGGAGGGGGAGGAGGAGGAGGAAGAGGGGGAGGAGGAGGAGGAGGAGGAGGAGGAGGAGGAGAGGAGGAGGAGGAGGAGGAGGCGCAGGAGGAGGAGGAGGAGGAGGGAGGAGGAGGAGGGAGGAGGAGGAGGAGGAGGAGGAGGAGGAGGAGGAGGAGGAGGAGGAGGAGGAGGAGGAGGAGGAGGAGGAGGAGGAGAGGAGGAGGAGGAGGAGGAGGAGCTCCGGGGCAGAGGCAGGACTGAAGAGGCCCTGGGACACACAAACAAATACACACAAATGACAGGATTTCCCATATTTTCCCACATTTGCTGGGTTTCAGTCTTCCCCCCCATATTTTCCTATCTTTTCTGGAGGGTCGACGATTAAGAGTGTCTGTGTTTTTTTTTCCCCCCTACCTAGGCTCTGCCTAGAAGGGTTCTTACTCTCTTAGCTTAAAGGGGCCGGGCAGTGGAACACGCCCCGGGCGGTTCCCCCAGTCCCCTGGGAGCGGTTCCCCCCAGTCCCCTGGGAGCTTTAGCTTTAGCTTTAGCTTTAGCTTAGCTTTAGCTTAGCTTTAGCTTGCTGTAGCTTAGCTTTAGCTTAGCGTTTCGCTTAACATTTCGCTTAGCGTTTAGCTTAGCTTTAGCTTAGCTTTAGC